ATTTACACATTTTCTCTTCACTTACTGCTGTAGCTTTAATTGACTGTATATTACAGATGTGAGTCTTCCGATGACGAGTGGGTGAGGATGATCGGCACGCCGAGGAACATCAGCCGCAGCAGCGTGAGCTTCAGGGAGAGGCAACCCCTGTTAACACCCAGAATGAGATCGATCATCCTCTTCTGGTTAATGGAGGTTGTTGTTGTTGTTGTTTTGAAATCAGAATTTTCAGTAAAATCAAAGCAGCATTGAATGTTATTTTTTAGTGTTTGTAGCTAAAAATGATTTACTTGGAATACAGTCGTGAGTAGTGCAACTCATTCCAAATTAGAACGTGTAGATTAGCGGTCTCATCTAAATGACACATTAACAGGACTTTCATGATTGTTCTTGCAGGTGTGTGAGGCCTACGCTGTTCACAGGGAGACGTTCTACCTGGCACAGGACTACTTTGACCGTTTTCTGTTGATTGAGAAAAATCTTAAGATGGGTGTGATGCAGCTCACTGTGCTCACATGTCTTCTTATAGCATCAAAGATGGAGGTAAAATTACTATTTAGTAGTTTCTCTTTTTTGGAGGGGCTTTTTGTGTTAAATCTAAAATACAAATTCTTATTACTTATTCCAATGTTTTTATTTGCACTGTGGGTTTCGTGATGTTGCGAACAGGGATTAAAGTGTCACAAAGTGCATTTAAGTGGGAACCAGTGGTGACTCTCTTGCTTGTGCGTGGCACACCTGAACTGCTGTTGTAATTCGGCTTTACTGCGCTTCGACTGCATTCTTCATACTTCTGTGGCTTCTTTCCACCCATTAGCCATAGCCTGCTGTCAAATACAGCAGAGTGAAAGGAAAGGGTAACATCAGATTAAAATTTTTAAATGTAGGATCGAAATTTGACTTGCTTGACTTTGTATGAAACTACTAACTGGATTGATTTAAAGTTACTAGAAAGGTGTTCCTGCACACTTTAACCCCTGGTTGATTAAAGGTGTTTTATTTATTTTATAGGAATCTAAACCTTTAAAGATCTTGCATCTGTCACGTGTGGCTCATGGGATCTACCATGTAGAAGAATTCCGTCATATGGAGTTGGTCATTTTGAGGGTAATACTTTTAACTCACTAGTCATCATATGCACCTGTTCCATTGTACATTTTATAAATCAATATGCTTTTGTATGCTCTGCAGACATTGCGCTGGTACACTCGTTCTGAAACGGCTTTGACCTGGCTGAAGTTCCTCCTGCAGGTGATCTTCAGGAAAGAAAACGCAAACCTACTCGAGCAGCCGTTTCCAAAAGATACTTACATGAGAAGTGCAAATGTAGGTGTTTGAGTTCACTTATATTTAAGTCAACAGTTCTATAATAAATCTACAAATAAGACTGTATTGAGAGAGGGAAGTGAAATATCCTTGCTAACCTTGTACGTAGTGGGGAGTCTGTAGTTGCTCAAGGTGTTTTTGTTTTAGCTTTTAGATCTGTGCATCCTTGACGTGAACTCGATGGACATACCTTACCACGGATTGGCTGCCGCAGTCCTGTGTTATTTCGTGGACCAGAGACTGGTTGAAAAAGTTGCATGTAAGAGTTGGAGATTTAAAAAAAAAACAACAAAATGACTAAAATGTGTTACACCTGACACACAGGAAGAACAAAGTTAATGTTTAAAATGAGAAGGCTCAACTCTTGAACATGTCAGGTTATTCAGTCTGTATGTTTGGTTTGTTTAGGTATCCACAGAGAACTCCTCCAGCCATGTGTTGACTGGCTGGCCCCCTTTATGGATGCACTGGAAGACTTTGGCACAGTCACACGAAAGGTGTTTCCCACAGTAAGAAGAGAAGACCAATGCAACATCCAGGCAAACTTGGACTACATGTCCATTTTGGTTAGTGTAATTTTTTTTTTCTCTGTGGTCTTCCTTATAATTTAAGGTTGAAGTCAGACTAGAAAATGCAGTCAGGAAAATGATTGTTTACCCATACAAAAGCAAACTCCTAAGACTTGAAATGTTTGTAGAAGCTATATAGAGCTCACAGATGGAAGCTGGTTTAATGCAGTTTGTGATGGCGGCAACCTGTGTTGCATCTGGCATACTAAGAGCTATAAATAAAATGACTGGCATTGGATAACTCCTCTGTACATCTGCTCGACTGGTGGTCAACCTTGTACAATTGGTCAATCACATGGCATGTGATGCATTTAGACATGGTCAAGAGGACCTACTGAAGTTGAAACTGAGCATCAGAATAAGGAAGAAGCTTTATTTTAAGTGACTTTGATCATGACGTGTTTGATGCCAGGTGGGCTGGTCTGAGTATTTCGAAAATACTGATCTGCAGTATGACATTCATACTGCTTTGCCTTCTTGTTTGACACGCTGTCAGTTTTTTTACAACTGTTCCAGAAACAAGAATGCAAAGTCAAAGCTAAGAGCAGTGGTATCAGACACTATACCTCTGCCAATGCTGAGGAATTTGAAATGATGAGGTTGACTTGAATCTGTGTGAGTACTGTTGCCTATCATTCTATTTGGTTGCCCACTTCTGTGGACGTAAATTCAAATGGATCACTCGATTACAGTTCTGTGCTAGTATGAACCCATAATTCTGCAGCCTTTTAGTTATTGAATGATGTCGTCACTCCTTTGCCGTTTCATTCTTAAACTTCATTGGGGGAGATGGCAGAGCTTTTGACATTAGCCATAAAAAAACCCCCAAAAAAACCAAACCCTGGACCATGTTTCTGTATTGCAGAATGAAACCCTGAATGCACAATTTCACGTAAAAGCATTTCTTTGATTTTAAGAAAATATATTTACTTTTGGTATAAAGTGAACATTTAAACAACTTATTTTTCCCAGCTGACACACGTGAAACTGCTCATTTGTAGAAGTCTTATTTTGCAGAAGGGAATGAAACTCTAAAGGTTTCTTTTCCCCTTCCTTGGCATATTTATTCTGTTTAAAATGAAATGTTTTTTTTAATTTAAAGAAAAAGGACTAAAAATGAATGAGACTTGAATTCCAAGTTGTTACCCTTACGGTGTCGATAAATTGCTTCCGTTAATTTTTAGGATGTTGCTCACAAGGCAATAAGAGGCAGTTCTCCTGCAAAAGATGTGGAACCGCTCAATGCCACCCTGTACAAAGAGAGGATCTACGTACCTGGGCAAGGACTTACGTCTTCAGAAGATGAAGTTTAACAGAGTCTGAAGGTGCTGATTGCAGTTCTATCTGAAACTTTCCTGCAGAGATGGCTGCAACTGTCCGACTCAGACTGGTCTGACTCAGACTGATCTGACAGAGTTGAATGCTGAATTAAAATAAATTGCGTTGTAGTCTTAGTATGCCATAGTGTGAGAATAGTTATTGTTAGTTTAGAGTTGAATAGTTGTCACCCCCGCATCTTCCCCTCACCACAAATAGTAGTAGTCATGTATTTGATCCATTAAAAGACAATGTAGGAGATCTAAACTATTAACTGATATTTGAAGGCCACTCTTCTTCTAGCCACTTTTGTTTTAGGTTTATTTTGTTTTCCCTCATATTTTTTTTTGGCTTTTTAAGGTTTTATTTCAGAAAAATGCAAAGTTCAAGAATTTGAATTTCTAGAAAATTGTGGGATGCATTTTTTTTTCTCTTTTTAAATGAAATGTTGTGTGCTGCTGTCCAGCAGCCAAAGTATAGTAAAATGAATGCTGTACCAGTGAACTTTTAAAAACCCCCAAACAGAAAGCATTAACTGAACCAGGTCCATTGCACTTAGTTCATTTTTTGCTTTGCTTTTATCCTGATGTGATTAACTCAGGGCATTTTGGTTTTATAAGTTTATTGCAAAAGTTGAAAATAATACAAATTACCATGTACTTGTTACCACAAAATAAAATCTTCATCCCCACCCTGTGAAATCTGACAGTGGTTCGTGTGTTTACTAAAAGTACAGTTTGGCCATCGCCTGCAGGAATCTCTTCTTCCTCTTCTGCGCAGCCAGCTGCAGCACTTCCTCTGGATTACTGGTGTTCAGTTCTGTCTGTCCAATCGCTTTTATCTGAAGGGTTGGGAGATG